GAAACAAGTTAGCTATGTCTATCCCTGAAAATGTAATAGTCCCTTTAATATTTCAAAAAGTTTTCTTAAAAAGAAAAACAAATTATTGTTCTTATGTTCACAGTGTAAATAAAAGTTTTGTTATATATTTAATAGTTTATTTTGCTGCTGATTAAAAACATGCCATGTGGTATCTTTAAAAATGAGATATTTATTTTTGCCACAGTTTGCATAGATTATAGTCCACTTCTGCACATACATGGAATATGTGCATGGTTTTATTTTATTTCGTGTCAAAAGAATTGCATAAATAAATATAAAATTAATAAAATAATGGAAGCACAAGTGGCTAAATAATTTTAGACCAAAAACAGGCAACAGCAAATACACCGTCTGTAGCTTTAAACAATTCTTCCTCTGTGCATGAAGCAGGGCATTGTGGACAAGCATACAGATGCTGAGTTGTTTGTTCTGCTCCACAGTCACACAAGGTGGAGGATTCTTCTAGGTAGTGCCATTTTTCCAGGTTGTCTTTTGATCTGCCCACTCCACTTCTGAGTCTGTTCAGAGTCTTCCAAGTTGCCCATTCTCGGTTTGCAGACCCTCATGGGGGGCCATCCAGTTGGGATTTCCTGATTTAGCTACCCAGAGAGATAGTCTTGCTGTTGTTGGGGAAACATTTAGAGGAGTAGTTGATCTCGTGAAGCTTTCCCTTGATTTGAGTTTACTGGGAGAAGGTTGATAGCCATGCAACAGATGGCTTTCAATCTTATTTCTCTCACAGTAAAAAAGTACTTCCTTAAATGCACCAAGTCTATGCTTGCTTTTCTGGCATACATGGCAGCCTTCCTATTTTGTGTGTGCTTGTTCATTTTTCACTGAAACATATGCATGCAGCATGCATAGGAGCACATCTTGCTTCTTTGGCTGGATCTACACTGCCATTTAATCCAGTTTCAGAATGCAAATTAATTGAATTGGACTGGATTATATGAGACAACACTGCTATATAATCCAGTTCAATGTGGTTAATCTGCATTCTGAACCTGGATTGTGTGGCAGCATAGATCCAGCCTAAATCATCTCTTCACTATTTATAGTTTCTGGTGTGCATTCTATGCATGCTTATTTATTGAGAACTAGATGCACTTCTGTATGTGCAAAATGAGTGTGACATGAAGATCTAAGGATGCATGAATAAAAATTGTGTGAACAAAATGTTGCATTTCTTGGATTTTAAGATGCACGTTCCCCATATAAATAGCTCTAAAATGGGGTGCATATAATAGTACTTTTATATACATCATATAAATGATAGACCCAGTTTCAAAACAGTGTATTTTACAGTGGCAATATGTTACAATTACAAAAACAGTTACAAACAATTTAATAAGTTACCAAGCTACCAAGTTTAGTAACCATTACGAATCAGAAACAAACCTTAAGAAATTACCCAGCAAATGGAACATTATGCCTTATGCTATGAGACTGATATCTTGTGGATGACTGAGGCTAGGGGCAGCTTGTGTGCTGGAAAGGCATCTAGCGGCAATTATTTGAAACTCTATGCCCCATCCTTTCAAGCAGTAAGTTTCATTCATGGGGTGGTTTGTGGTTTTGGGACAAAGCAATTTCAAGTTGGGCACCTTTTTGAAACACCATATACCATATATATGAGGGATATCTGGAAAATAAGGTTACAATTTTTTTTAAAAAACAAAGAATGATTGTATTTTAATAAAACTTACATGGATTATAGCATAAGGATTACGTTATTTTTCCACATAATCACCATTCAGTTCAATATATTTTGTCATCCATGGGACTGGTTTTTTGATGCCTGTGTCATAGAAGTCTCCCTCTGCTTTTTCAGCCAGTCTGTCACTTCATTTTTCACCTCAGCATTGTCGGAAAAGTGTTTTCTACCCAGGTGTTCCTTCAATTTAATTAACAGATGATAGTCACTGGATGAGAGATTGGGGCTGTGAGAGGGGTGGCTTAAAACATCCCAACCAAATGAAGTCAACAACTCTTGTGTTACATGAGTGGTGTATGGATGCGCATTGTCATGAAGGAGACAGACAAGAGGGAAACAGAATGAGGACACTCATCTCTAACCTTCACCACAATGCCGGTCGATTAGCTACTGATGACTGGCACTGCTCATTTGCTGGCTTCCTGCTATACAGCAGTGATACCAGTATGTGTGTGTGTTTTCCGTTAGTGTACAGTGGAACCTTGACTTAAGAGCATCTCAAGTTAACAGCATTTTAATTAAGAGCCATTGCTTGTGCTGGACTTTGCTTTAACACATGAGCAGAGTTTTGAGTTAAGAGCTAGCACCAGAGGGAGTGCTTGTACCAGTGTACAGGACTTTAGAGCTTCAAGGGAGCAGCTTCTGTATCTCGTGCCTCTGTGAAATGTGGGTATTGGAATGCAATTCTTCAACCATCTAGCTGTGTCTCTATCTACAAGAGAGTTGGAAAAAATGCATCTCACTGCTCTGCTTTTACACAGGCTAATCTGTGTATTATTTTTTTTTTTGGGAAGAGAGCTGAGAAGGGGGAAGGAAAATAGAGCTCTGGAGCAGAGACCCCAGAATTGTGGAAAAGAACAACAGCTCTGGAAATGGAAAGGAAAGAAAAAAAGAATGGGAACCAGGTGCAAAGTGCATACTGAAATGCAGACATCTACCTGTGCCTCTAACTATAAAGGTAAAAGTTTCCCCTTGACATTTAGTATAGTTGTGTCCAACTCTGGGGGTTGGTGCTCATCTCAATTTCTAAGCTGAAGAGCCGGCGTTGTCCATAACGTTACCCCGTTACCTTTTCGCAGAAGTGGTACTTATTGATCTACTCACATTTGCAGGTTTTCGAACTGCTAGGTGGGCAGAAGCTGGTGCTAACAGTGGGAGCTCACCCCACTCCCTGGATTCAAGCGACTGACCTTTCAGTCAGCAAGTTCAGCAGCTCAGCGGTTTAATTATAGAACTCTGGGTAAATGTATTGCCTGGCTCAGCTTTTAAGCAGGCTAATCTATGTAAATTATTTGGGAAGACAGCAGCAAAGGGAGAAGGAAAAGAGAGCCCATTGATTCCAGCCATGAAAGCCTTCAACAACACATTCCAGCAGACCTCACAACCTCTGAAGATGCCTGCCACAGATGCAGGCAAAACATCAGGAGAGAATTCTTCTGAAACATGGCCATACAGCCCAGAAAACTCACAAGAACCCACTGAAAAGAGAGCTCTTTGGGAGCAGAAGTATGGATTTGTGGGGAAGAACATCAGCTGGATATGGCAAAAGAAAAAGGGAGAAAAGGAATGGAGAAGAGATTCCAGCCCAGCTTACCTGTCTGAACTTATCTCTCCTTATGAACCATCTAGGAGCTTAAGATCGCCTGCTCTCGATCTTGCCTTCTTCGCAGATGCATTTAGCAGGGATGAGAGACAGGGCCTTCTCAGTGGTGGCCCCTTGGCTGTGGAACGTCTTCCCTGGGGATATTAGATCGGCCCCCTCCCTCCTAACATTTTGTAGAAAAAGTTAAAACCTGGCTTTTTGAGCAAGCATTTGCAAATGCAGTGTAACAGGCAAATATAGATCTATGGAATGACTGGAAGACGTGAATTGGAAAATGATTTTAGTAAGGAGGCGCTGAGGATTTATGTTTTTATTGGTTTTGTATGGTTTTTATATTATTTGCTAAGTGTTTTTAAATTGTACTTTATGTTGTTGGGGGCATCAAATTGTACAGACTGTAAACCACCCTGAGTCACCTTCAGGCTGAGAAAGGCGGTATATAAATGCGATAAATAAATAAACTACAAGGGTTGAATGAAAAGTAATGCCTCCACCTTCATTACTTGGGTTTGGATGGGAATATTTGTTGTTGTCACAGAATTGCTCAATCCATTACGCAAAGTAATGGGGGCTCTCTTGAGGCGCTCTTGGGGGAAAATAGACCTTGTCATATGTGAGTTGTAGTTACTGGGATGTATAGTTCACCTACAATCAAAGAGCATTCTGAACTGCACCAATGATGGAATTGAACCAATATGGCACACAGAATTCCCACGATGAACAGAAAATATATATCAGTGATTGGTTGGGGCATCAAAATACTGTTTGCTTACCGTTGAAAATTACCTAGGGCCGCCTCTGGACGCAAGTCAGATGTTCCCACCTCAACACCTTTAAACTTACTTGCCCAACATGCACAGTACTCACATCAACACAATCACCATAAACAGCTTGCATTCTCTGATGAATCTCCTTTGGGGTGGCACCTTCTGCTGTCAAGAATTCAATGACTGCATGTTGCTTAAGTTGCATTGACTGACTGTCTGTGCAGGGTTCCATAGTTCGCACTTTATCAACACAACTGTTTAATGCTAAGGCTTCCCGCCAAAATGGAACTGTAGAGGGGAGTCTACTGAACAAGCCAGTACCTGCCGCATACCAGTACTGCCACCTGTTGAGGAGTTACTTTTTATTCAACCCTCCTAACTTCCTGACAGTAAGAGCTGCGGGACAGTGGCATCTGCTGCCTGGGAGCGCGGTGGGGTCTCTTTCTCTTGAGGAGTCGTCCTCACAATGCAGCCCTCCAGCTGTTTGGGCCTCCACCTCCCAGAAGCCCTAACGAGCTTGTCCAATTGCCAGGGATTCTGGGAGTTGAAGGCCCAAACAGCTGGAGGGCTGCATTGTGAGGAGGCCTGCTCCTGAGGTTTCTAAGCAAAGGCTGGGTGTGCTGGGAGTGCACTGACCCGGGGCTGGATGGCCCTTGTGGTCTTTTCCAAGCCGAGGGTTTTGTGGTGCGCTTCTTGGACCTACCTGCCCCTTAGGCTGTGGCGTGTGTGTCTGCGTGCCTCTTTCCCCGCAAGGGCTGCGCCTGGGGAGCGCCGGGGGCCGGGTGCGAGGGGAGGGGAGGGCGCGCGAGGCCCCGAGCAAGAGCAGGATTCCAATCGAGACGTCACGGGCAGCCAATCCGGAGGCGGCGGCCGGAGTTTGGGGCGCCCGCGCTGCCTTTTAGCCCTCCTCCGCCCCTTTCCCACCCAGGGAGAGCGCGCGGCGGCGGAGGCGGGTTGGGGAGACACCACTGCGGGGAGGCGCTGGCCACCCTCTCGCTCTCGCCTTCCCTCTCTCCTCCTCGGCCCGGACCTGCGGCGCCCACTTCCAGCCTTCCTCTCGCCCGCCTCGCTTCCGTGCCCTTTCCTCCTGCTTCTCCCTTCGCGCGGAAAGGGCGCCTTTGCTCTTGCAGCAGGTCACGCCTCTGGTTCATTCAGGGCGAGAGGCGAGGCGAGAAGAGGCACCGGGCGGGCTCCCCTCGACTGAGCTCCGGCTTCTCCCTCCTCCTCCTCCTCCTCCTCCTCTGCCTCGGCTCCAAACTCTGGCGCCCGCTTTTGCCTTGCCTTTCCCCCTCCGCTTTCCCCTCCAGTGCCTTGGCCAAGCACGTCGGGGCGGGCAGGCTGGCTTTGCCCGAGAAGCCTGTAAGACTGAGCGGCCCCAAGCGTGTATACACGTAGAGGGATAAATCCGCAGCAAAGCCACCAGAAAGAAGACCAGGAGGAGGAGAAGGGGGTTGATCCTGCCCTTTTCCCTCCTCAGAGTTGGATGGGGGCGAGAAGGGGAATGCGACTGAGCCATCTTTGGTGCCTCTTCTCTCAGCTGTGTTTCCTGTCAAATGGGATCACTTCAGGTAATGTTCGCCTTCTCTTCCTCTCCGCCCACAGCCATCCATCCATGCTCCCTTCCTTCCTTCCATCCTTCTTTGCTTGCTTGCTTCCGTGCTTCCTTCTTTTCTTCCTTCCCCTTCCTTCCCCTTCCTTCCTTCCTTCCTTCTTTGCTCGCTTTCTTCCTTCCTTCCTTCCCAGCTTCCTTCCTTCCTTCCATGCTTCTTTCGTTCCTAGCTTCCTTCCTTCCGTGCTTCCTTGCTTCCTCTTTCCTTCCTTCCACTTGTTTGCTTCCTTCCTTGCTTCCTTGCTTACTTCCTTCTTTGCTTGCTTGCTTCCTTTTTTCCTTCCTTCCGTGCTTCCTTGCTTCCTTCTTTCTTTCCTTCCCCTTGCTTGCTTGCTTGCTTCCTTGCTTCTTTCTTTGCTCACTTCCTTGCTCCTTCTTTCCTTCCTTCCTTTTCTTCTTCCTTCTTTCTTCTTCTTCCTTTCTTTCTTTTCCTTCCCCTTCCTTCTTCCTTCTTCTTCTTTCTTCTCCTTCTTGCCTCCCTTCTTTCCTTCCTTCCTTTCTTCCTTTCCTTCCTTGCTTCCTTCTTTGCTCGCTTCCTTGCTTTTCCTTCCTTCCTTCCTTCTTTCTCTTCCTTTCCTTCTTTCCTTTTTCCTCTTCCTCTTCCTTCCGTGCTTCCTTCTTTCCTTCTTTCCTTTTCCTTCTTCATTCTTCTTCCTTCTTCCTTCCTTGCTTCTCTTCCTTTCTTGCTTCTTTTCCTTCCTTCGTAGCTTCCTCCCTCCCTCCCTCCCTTTTATTAAACTAAACTCTTACTTCTTCTGAGATGCTGTGTGTTCGCAGGGAGCATTGCTGCACATGAAGAGCAGTGGTGGGATGCTTCTGCACCATCTGACATTTTAGGGTGTATCTGCACCAGGCATGGACAAACTTTGGCCCTCCAGGTGTTTTGGACTTCAACTCCCACAACTACTAAAGCAGTGATTCTCAACTTTCTTAATGCTGTGACCCCTTAAAACATTTCCTCATGTTGTGGTGACCGCCAACCATATTTTTTTTTGTTGTTACTTCACAACTGTAATTTTGCTACTGTTATGAATTGTAATGTAATATAAATATCTGATATGTATTTTCATTCACTGGACCAAATTTGGCACAAATACCCAATACGCCCAAATTTGAATACTGGTGGGGTTGGGGGGATTGATTTTGTCATTTGGGAGTTGTAGTTTCTGGGATTTATAGTTCACCTACAATCAAAGAGCATTCTGAACTCCACCAATGATGGAATTGAACCAAACTTGGCACAGAACTCCCATGACCAACAGAAAATACTGGAAGGGTTGGTGGGCATTGACCTTGAGTTTTTGGAGTTGTAGTTCACCTACATCCAGAGAGCACTGTGGACTCAAACGATGATGGATCTGGACCAAACTTGGCACAAATACTCAATATGCCCAAATGTGAACACTGGTGGAATTTGGGGAAAATAGACCTTGACATTTGGGAGTTGTAGTTGCTGGGATTGATAGTTCCCTTGCAATCAAAGAGCATTCCGAACAATAAAATTGGGCCAAACTTCCCACACAGAACCCCCACGACCAACAGAAAATACTGTTTTCTGATGATCTTTGGAAGCTCCTTGGACACCTTCTTTCAAACCCTTCCCCTATGGATCCCTCCCCCCAGGTTGAGAAATGCTGTTCTAAAGCCTGTTCAGATTCTCCCAAGGTCAAGGTAGATGTCATAATCATGTTATTTTGGGCGCAAGAGACATGTATCCAGCCACTTTTCCTGTCCTCTCACAGAATGTCCATGGCAAGGGATGTGCAGTGGCTTTGCAGGAAGGCCTTGGTCAGTGCAGAGGAAGGATGAGAATGATAGGGACTTGAGGGTACAGTTAACATGTATTTTAAACAAACAAAGTTTAAAAGTATGGCATTATGCTAAATGTCCTTTGACCAGAAGCTGGCCACTTGGAGTGCCTCTGGTGTCGCTATGAGAAGGTCCTCCATTGTGTATGTGGCAGGGCTCAGGTTGCATTGTAGTAGGTGGTCTGCGGTTTGCTCTTTTCCACACTCACATGTCATGGACTCCACTTTGTAGCCCCATTTCTTATGGTTAGCTCTGCATCTTGTGGTGCCATAGTGCAGCCTGTTCAGAGCCTTCCAGGTTGCCCAATCTTCTGTGTGCCCAGGAAGGAGTTTCTCATACTGTCTCAGCCACTGATTAAGATACTGGGAATGATAAAAAAGGAAGATGGATGTATATCTGGTTAAGCTAGTAGCAGGATGCCTGCCATTATGTGTACTAGTGGCAAAAGTGTGAAGTTAATGTCCAGATAGTCGTTGTATTTCCTACCAATAGTCTGTTTTTGTTTCTCCAAAACACCAGGAGGGTCAAAGTTTGCTCATGCTTGGTATAGACCCATAGAATGCAGTTCAAACTGCATTATTCGGTAATGTAGATCCAACCTGAGATGTCCTGGAAAGCCATTGGAATATGTGATTTTCTTTATGACAATCATGTCTTTCCAAATATCTCTTTCTTAATCACATTTTACTTCCTGAAACTAAAGGTGTTGCACAATATTTTCTGCACTAAGTTTGCCCATGCCTAGTCTAAACTGTAGGCTTAATGCAGTATGGCGGTACTTTAACTGCAACTACTCCATGCTATGGAATCCTGGGAGCTGTAGGCCTTTCACTTTCTCTGCCCTAGAATGCGGGGGCTCAGCAAACACCAACTCCTAGAATTCCCTAACATTTAGCTGTGGTAGTTGAAGTGGTATGGAACTGAAAGTGCAGATAACACCCAAGGAAGCTGCTATACAAGGGTGCCAGTTCGAGGTATTGAAGCTCATGGTTTTTGGGAATCCCAGGCCTATGTGACCTCCAATCCATCAGGCTGTATAGATAATCTAACAATCTAACAATACTCTGCACATGTAATTGGAAATAACCACACAGAGCATCACATTCCTATAAATTAAGCTCCTGCTTAGCTGTCAGTACCAACTGGACAGTGGGTTGTCTTTATTTATACAAGAGAAAGTTTTCACTGCTTCCTGTAATGAAATGCTGTGGGGCCATATCTTGTTTCATTCCACTCTTATCTATTAGTTCCTCAAGTGTGTGTCTTACATTATGGTTGTCTCTTCATACTCCCCATCTGTCCTTCATCTGCATGTCTGAGACTTCCTTGAAAAAGTATTTTATAAAGAACACATGAAAAAATAGAAAGTATACTTATGTCCAAGGAAGTTGGAAAGGTGCATTGTATATTTTACATTTTGCATGTGGTGGTGATGTGCCTTCAAGGTAAACATAAGTGAACCCCTGATAGGGTTTTCTGGGACTGATTGAATGTGACTCATCTAAGGTCACCTATTCGGTTTCCATGGTTGAACGGGGAATCAGACCTGTTTGTTCTCTGGAGCCATAGTCAAATGCTCAGCCCACTGCAACACACTGGCTATTTATTCTTTTATTAGTCAACTTTTCTCCCTCAGCCAGATGTTTTCTTACTATCCCATAGGCAGCAGATAACTCTTTTGAGATTTTTTATATGGATCAAGGCCAACCTGATGTTTAATAAACTGTATTACTTGTTTAACATTGTGTTCTTCCATGGATGACATCAGACAGTGAAATGTATAGACATTCTTCTTCTGTCTTCTGTATCTCTGTGCAGCAAATTACATGCTTCACCTAGGAACTGCAGAGTGATTTACAGCTTTCCTCTGCAGTAAGGGCATTGTCTTGCAACATGAGACATTATGGCCTACAGAAGAATATGCAGGATGACTGTTTTCCTCTGTGTGTGGAAATCTGTACTACATCATCTGGGAGTGAATTCTGAACCCTGTATAAGGTGTTCAGAGTCATGGCACATGTTGTGTGACAACAACACTTATTTGGATGATGTACCATTTGCACCATGCCTTTTGCACTGTATTTTTATAATACATTAAATATAAGTGACACTAATGATATTAATAATATTTCTTAGCACTTCTATGTATCCAAAATTATCTATATTATCTTCTTGTAATTTTTATAGCCTGCCCTGTTGAACAGTCTTCTTTATCCTGGTAAACTCCATTATCTTCAATTACAACTTCTCTTATCTCACACTGTGAGATAAGAGAATGTGATTGAGTATTCCTTACCTGGAAATCCAAAATACTCCAGAACCAACACTGACCACATGAGTGGCTGAGATAGTAACATTTTTCCTCAAACTTGCTTCCATGCACAAAATCCTTAATATATTTAATAAAAGTACCTTCATGTTATGTTTACTTTCTGAAACATTAATAAATTTCATGTTTAGACTTTGGTCCCATCTCCATGATTGGAATATAGCTCCAAGATTTGGAGTATAGTCATTTCTCAAGTTGGAAACATCCAACTTACAAACAACTCAAAGTTAAGAATGAGGGCGAGACAACAAGTGAGAGAAATCTACCACTGAAAGAGAAATTCACTACTGTAAGGGTTATCATGATAAAGTTTCTTAACTGAAACTTTATCATCAGTCCTTGCACTGTGCTCTGGCATCATGAAATGCAGAGCCAACCTTAAGAAATGGGGCCACGACTTCCGGTGGGGATTCATGGCGGCGAGACGGAGGTTTTGAGAGCTCCTCAAACCTCAGCTTTTTTCGGCCTGACCAGGCGAGTTACTCGCCTTCCTTCGCCCGGTGGATGGAGACCGGGATGGACGCGAACCCATAGGGGGGTCAGCCGATGGTCTAAACCCCCTCTCCCCTCAAGGGTGGGGGGCAGAAAGACCCGGTAGTGGCCCCCCGCAGGGCAGCGGGTTGCCGAAGTGCGAGCCGGCCGGCGAGACAAGCGGGCTCCGGTATTTTGCCGTCACCACACTTATTTTAAAGAAGTAATTCTGTGAGTATTAAACCGAAATATCAACTCTCTCACTCTAGTGACAGAAAGTGGAGGAGTAAACAAAAGTATATACACAACAGACCTGCAGAGATTCTGCCTTGTGAAATGTAATAAATGTA